TTATTTTATTTTTTTATTCTATTTTTTTAAATTTTTTTTTCTGAATGCTAAGGCCTTGTAGAATAAAAAAAATGGCAGCTACTGTGCAAAAGTTTATCAAATCCATATTTTTTGAAAAAAAAACAAAAATATAACAAACATGTCAAGTTCAAATTGTGTGCGCCCGTGCAATGGCGAAAAATTATGGTACTCAAAATTGTTCATAGACGACGCGCTTTAAACACTTTTACTGCTCATCAGTTTTGAGTTAACAACAAATTATGGACCTAGAATTATTGCTCTCACTCCAATGTTCACGGCCATACCTAATGTATGGCGCAATCATTGTTAACATAGAAGTGCATGCCCTACGTCACGTTTCGTTCGCATGCAGTTGGTGGGCTTGGTTTTTTTATTTTTATTGTTTTTCACTTTTTATTCACATTTTTTATTTTTTATATTTCACTGAACTTTATTGCTATCACACAGGGGCTGACAAGCCCCTATGTGATCGCATTTGGAGTTGACGAGTCCTCTTTATGGAGATATCTGGGGTCTTGGATATTTGAGCCAACAGCACAGTGCTTCCTGAGTCACTGCTTACAGAGCAGATCAGGGAATGGACGTTGCCCTGTCTGCTCCCGCTCTCCATCCTGACACTAAATTACCATGGTCCCCCAGAGGATTTTATCAGAGATTTCCCACCTGCAAGGTCACAGGTCTCCCACCTTCTGCGCCACCTATGCAAGCTGCTACAAGTGATCTGGGCTGCAGTACAGCCACCCAGATCACTTGTAGAACTTGTACTCCTCTATGCCAGGAAGTGAACTGGAGTCCCCTGTCAGAGATATTAGATTGCATGCTGTACAGTCTGAACATTTCCAGTGCTGCAGCAGAAGTAAGAGTAGAGAGTGGGATGAAGTGTGCCATTTTAGAGAACTTGTCAACCACAACCCAAATGACCTTGCAGCTATCGGAAGGTGGGAGATCTGTGATAAAATAAATGGACTGATGTTCCCAGGGTTCCTTTTGAATAGGAAGAGGCATTAAGGGCCCCACAGGAGCACATAAGGGGGCTCCTAGTGCAAGGAACTACAATGTCTAACATTCCTCTTCAGCTTTCTGTTTCATCGCTATTGATGGCCCTGAGTGAACGTCCAATGGACTCCTAGATGCCCTGCCGGTTTGGGGCTGTGAACCCAGTGTAGAATCTTGGTTCTGAGATTCTGTGGCACCAGGGTTTTGCCAGGAGGAATAGGAAGGTCACTGTCAGCATTCCAGCAAGAGCAATAATGTGATCCAGTTCAGAGGAGGACTCCCTGTCTTGGGGGGTCAAAGGAGCAGGAGAGAGCATTGGCTAGAGTATTGTGAGAACCAGATTTGTATAAAATGACAAAATTAAATTAAGAAAAGAAAAAAGCACCATCGAGCTGGTCTTGGATTGAGTCATTGTGCAGACTGGAAATAATGTAGGTTTTTCAGTAAGTATGGCCAGGCGATGGAGATCCCTCAAGAAGATATCAACATTCCTCAAGGGCCAGCTCCATAGCTAATGACTCATGAACCCCGATGACATAATTTTTTATGCTGTTTTTTTTAGAAAAGAAAGCACAGGGAGACTTTTTGTTCCAGACAGTCTGTAGAAGCACAGCAACAACGCCCATAGTGGAAGCATCTAACTTCAAGATAGAGGGGTTTAATAGTAACTAGCTGTAAAGCTGGTCTGGTTAGGAAGGCATATTTTAAAGATTCGAAAGGCTTCCAGGGCTTTGGGAGACCATTTCTTCAGATCAGGGCCTTTACTGGTCAGGGCAATAATAGGTGCCACCACAGAAGAATAACCCCTGATAATCTGACAATAGTTTATGAAACCTAAGCTTGCCTGCTGGCGGAGGTGCTGCAACCAATTTGCAATGGCTGACACCTTGCCAAGGTCCATTCCATCCAGTTTTTTTTTTTAGCATAAAGCCAGTTCTCCAACAGGTGTAAGACAAGACAAGAATATAGTCAAGATGAATCACCACACACAGAGGAGTTCACAAAAGATATACTGCATGTTAGAAGTCCAGGGGGGACATTACATAACCTAAAGGGCATCACAAGATACTCGCAATGCCCTAGCATTGAACATGGTCTTCCATACGTCTCCCTTTTTTTTTGTGGACCAAATTGTAGGCCCCCGTTGGGTCTAGTTTTGAGAAAATCTGAGCTCCATGCAGGAGTTTGAATAGCTCGGTGACCCCGAATTGCATCTGGAATTACAAATGAAGCCCGTCAAAGTTTACGAAATATACTCAAACATGGTCTGCATCTTGGGAATTGAAAGTGGGTAGGTTCATCTGTGAGGAGTAGACCCAGGGATTAGATCGAGGGCACGTTCAAAGCAGCAGTGATGAGGGAAGGTGTCAGAAGGATGTCTGGGAAAGACAGATAAATCAGCTTAGGCAGCTTAGGAATGGTCTGGGCATAGGCCAGCAGTATTACATTTGCAATTGTAGAGGGAGGACACCCAAGAGGCCCCCAAGCGAGAACTTTACTAGTTTATGGTTGGTGAGTGCCGCTGTAGCCAAGGAAGGCCCAAGATGATGGGAGGTGCTGACCTGTGGCAAATCCAGGAAGGTGAAGCTTTCCCTATGTAGAACTCCAGTGGATAATTTGAGGGGCACAGTTTGCTAGCGTATGGGCCCACTGTAAATTAAAGCATGATGAGCATGAAAATTTGCAGAGGGTGAGGATGAATGGTCTCGTAGGCCCCCTTAAAGGGGTACTAGACCCAGGGGTTTCCTGGATGCTGGGGGCATTAGTTGAGGAAATGCTACTTCCTCCAGCAACATATGCAGAGGCCCTGGATCTGGTAATGAGCTCTTTCCTCAGAGGACAGCTGAGCTCTGCCTAGTTGCGTGGCTTCAACAGACGAAGATTCCTGGTGCGGGATGTCCGCCTCTTCAGAAGCAATTGGTCAAGATGCAAGTTAGAAGCACCTCTGATGGCTACATTCCTGGGAGCATTCATGAAATTGGACACTGGAAAGGAAACTGGAGAGGGAAGTCAAATCATCCAGGATGGAGGTCACACTCTGCATGCCGCCTTTTCCTCCACTTGTTCGTGTTTTCCTTACCAGAATTTAGCTGTTGTGGGCCTTGTTTTTCCAGGCCAGTTTAGGGTCCAATTTTGTGTTGCATACTTCTTCAGTGTCATGCTTCTTTAGAACTCTGGGTAATTGTATACCAAGGGGATCATATATTTCCCCAAGGGGAGAGGCCCAGGCCAGGGCATCTTGGCTTAAAAAACTCCTATTACCTAAACGGGTCTCTTAATTAGGTAAATGTGCCTGCCTCTATTTTATGCTCTTAGTTTTCCTTGTTTTTCTCTTGCTGAGTTGTTTTGCCTGTATTGTGTTTGATATGCTTGTACATCAGTTTGGACTGCTTTTTGTTGTCCCTAGGTTGCTTAATCATAGAGCTCTGTCCCTGAATGGACAATAAAGAAATAGGGCTTTTTATACACCGTAAAATACTTTACTCAAGTCCTTTAGGGGACACTGCTCTCTCCCCTTATGTGCCATCTGTCTCTGTTTGGACTGCTTGCTAGAACTGAGCAAGTGCGAGGTGGGAGGGGGTAATAGCCTAGAGGGTGCTAGCCTTCAGTTTTCTGTATGCCTAGTGTCCATTTCTCCTGTAGACAGCAGTATAACCCTAGGTTGTGTAAATATCAGCAAGCCTTGTCCCTCAGTTGACTCCAAGAATAGGATGTTATGGTGAGTGCAAAAATCCTTTTTTTTTCACCTGCTTGAGTCTGCTGACCGTGAACTTCAAACTGGTGATCCAGGCTGGTGATGTTCAAACTGGTGATCCAGGCTGTGCCTGCACTGACCGGTCCCCTTGTGGTGAGGTCATTCTGCTGCTGCAGTTTCTCATGTCTGAGCAGACCCTGCTACTTCACAGTGAATGGGGAGTTTCATGTCATCCAGGCAGCAAAACTTGACTCAGCACGTCTTATGACCATATATTTGTTCAAGTAAAGTGGAACCAGGAGGCTTAAACGTCCAAGTTAGTGAATAACTTAGTCATGGCAATACTGCTAAATAAAGCTCTTCATATCAGTTTAAATTGCATTCAAGTCATAATTGAGGAGTTCAATTATATCAAACCTTTTTAAAATCTTTCCGTGATTCTTCATCAGGTTTACTATTAAGTGAGGCCAAGCGATTCTCTCGTTGCTGCGTGTACGCGCTCACTCGAGCAGCTGCACGGTCACTGGCACTTTCTGATGAGGTTAGACCTAGACCACCAGAATCCATCCTAAAATAGAAGAGTGCAAATGTAAAACAGAATAATGGAATGGAAAGCAGATGAGATACTCAAATCAAAATGATCTAACAAGACCATGGAAACAGCAATGGGGTGCACCAGGGTGGATTTGGTTTAAATCAAGTGGATTTAAATCACTATTTAAATCATGATTTAAATCACTAATAAAAAGGCTTGATTTAAATCAACTCAATTTAAATCATAATTTTGTAAAGAGCAACTGTCATCTCTGTACCTCAGTGGCTCCTCCTCTGACCTGCTGTTGACTCACCGACAGTCCCATTCACTTTAATGGGACGGCTGGTGATGCGGCAGTGACACAACAAGGTGAGGGATGTGGCGGGCAGCAGGTGAGTGGATTTGCAAAACAATGGGATAAAGCAATATTCCTGAACTTTGTTTTATGATTTATCTCATGGTTACTTACTGTGAAATTCTGTGAATGCATCAATGCAGTGCATGTTATCTCAGCTTGCAGAGCTTGGATTCATTGAATGAGTTTACCAAAAATGTAAATATTGCAGAATATACAGCCTCATGCTACATAACTAAGCTCCATTGCATGCCGAATAAACTAAATTATTAATGTATTTTAAATAGAAAGCTATAGATTTTTGTTCCAAAAGCATTTTATTAAAATAAATGTAATAACAATTTTAAAAAATCTGATTTAAAATTTAAAAGAAAATCAGATTTCTTTTATTTAAAAAAAAAAAAAAAATTGATTTCTATCCACCCTGGGCTGCACTAACACATAGCAACCCTATTTCAGCTTTTGCTAGTGTACAGCAACCAACCAACCAGCAACAATTTATGACCCCTGTGCACTGCAGTAGTGCACGTTAGATGTTTTACCGCAACACATAGCACTTTGTGCATTGCTTTGCAGTGTCATTTGTTTATAATAGCACACAACAGTACCATAGAGAAATGTAACTTCAAAAGTTTCTAAAGGGTGTGCCACAAAACACCCTACCCCGATGCTGAGCGACAGGTTTTTTGGCACCCTTGGTGCCCAGGAGGAGGTACCAGCAAGAAAGAGCGAGGATTATGTGCCACCTACCTCCTCCCCCAATTAGGTACAAGTAGGTACAAGTGTGAACAAGGCCTGAAATCTGTCATAACACTACTCTGAAAGGGGTGATAAATCTATGCTTCACTATCGAGTGACAAAAGGATCTTTTCTCTTTGTGAATAGCATTTCAAGCATGTTTTATCATTCCAGTTGTTAAAATAACATCTGAATAGGTAAAATAATGTGTAGCGGGGACACCTACCATTGAAGTTCAAAAATAGTGATTGTTTTGTTTCTTTTACTGAGTCCATTTATAAAACTCTTGAAAACATGTCTTCCCATGACCCATGTGATCCCATATGCTGAGAGGAGACACTACAGGAGATATAGGGATTCAATGGTAGAAGGTGTTAACCTTATGTTGCCTCCTCATCTGCACCAGGGATAGATGGACCTTGAGACTTGCAGTTTTAATATTTATACCCCCTTTGTGTTCCTGAAGAAGTGGTTTGCACCATGAAACATGTAGAAGTAATACTTTTTCTGAATCTTGTCTGGCACAATATGTGAAAGTTATGATTTATTCTAGAGACCTGTAGGACCACTGGGGTCCATTAAAAGATACGAATATGATATGTGCCTGTTAAGAAAATAGTAAAATGAGAAAGTGTGGGTTTGGCTATTTTATAGTGTTTTTATTTGTGTAAAAATTTGGTACCTTTAAAATTCAGCGTCTTTTAATCTACTTTAGTTGTTAATCATTTGGATGTGGTACCACACAGGGTAAAATATATAGAAAGGAATTAAGAGGAAATTAGAGTTACACCTATTAGCGGAATAGAAGGCTATATTAATATGTTAAACTTCATGTTTAGCTGGTTTTGCCTCTATACTAGTTATTCACTTTAGTTCTCATGCCTGTATACACTTTTTAGGTAGTGTTAACTATACTTTTTTTCCAATCCAGAACAAACAAGCATACATTGCCCAGCAAAGTGTTTCTTTTAATTTTTTTGCCCAACCGGTTACAGTGATCATGTTTCCAAACAGTTGGCTCCAACTCTCTCAGCTCTGCTTCCCTGAAGGTCTTGTCCAGTACAAGATGACAAGGGACTGCACAGTCTCCAGCAGCTGCCCATCACTTAGCTTGGAGAAGGTAGGAAGGTGGAGCAGGTGAGTGACTTGTCTTGCTGTGTGTTTGTGGAGACACACACACACACAGCTAACTAGCACACAAAAGGGTGTAGAACCAGCTACAGCAATGCTCAGTCTGATCAGATCTGTGTCTTCCAGCACAGGTGATCTATAATCTGACTGGACTGGACTGGACTGGACTCTGCTCTCTTCATGTGTCTTCCATCCTGACCAGCAGCTGAGATCAGACTTCCATTTGATGTGTGGCAGGCGACATGTTTTTAAATATCCTGTAAGTGCAATACTTTTTCGCTTTATTCAGCAGTTGCTTTTATACTACAGTTAGATCTGTGCACCAGGTTTTTAGTTTTTTTTACAGTGCTTTTACATGGATGTTTCCTTATCCAACTAACCGGGTTGCAGGATCAGTGCATACTTCTTCTCTTGAATTATATAGTGCAAATAAGGAAAATAAGCATTTTCTATTAGATAATTACAGTATTTACGGGCAGACTACAACTTGGGTAAAAAGACCATGGGTCAGATTGGCAAAATTCCCCATCAAAGACAAGTTTTAGTTATTTGCTTATGTCAGTATAGTTTGATATAACATTTTATTTACAATGCAATCCATTTTACTGACAGCCCACATCAGAAAGAATCATTTCATTTGTCTGTAGGTCTCATGCACATTACATCAAGTGCCTCGTTTATTGTGCATTCAGTATAATAATATATGGTTTTGCAAAACACCCAAGTGCATGTTTCATCTAGACAAACAAATTGGGCATGTTGTGTGAACATCACAAACAATTTGTCACAAGTTAATTACAATGAACAAGGATATTTTAGCATACAGTCTCCTTCTTACAGTGAAGCAAATAGATACTACAACACATACCCCTCAATTCAGTTTACAAAAGCACTCTTCCCATTTGTGCTCTGTGTTTCTCACCAGTTGTTACAAGTTTCATCTGTATTCATTTAGAATAAGGAAAATGGCAATTCTTAATACGCCAGCCTTCACCACTAAACACCATCCTAACTATGAATTAACATTTTTCCAGGCTGTCTCAGACCAGGAAAGTGATATGATTTTAAAGAGACCTATCATACCAAAAATATAGAGGCTGCCATTGTTCCCTGTCTGTCATTCTGATCCTCTAGCTTCAATACTTTAAGATACTGACCCAGAACAAGTGCGCTGATAATCACCTCTGACTTTTTGGATCTGTAAACTTTTTCAGGGTCAGTACTAAAAGCCACTGGAACAGTATAAAAAACAGGCAACTAAGCCTATCCCACCTCAACCTAACCACTCAACCATCACATTCTCAATCAATTCATTCCTACACAGCTACCTCCTCATGTATCACTTCCCCTTCCTTTTAGATTGTAAGCCCTCAGGGGCAGGGCCCTCCTTACCATCTTCTCTTGAATTGTATTGTAATGGCTATCTTATATTGTAAAGCGCTGTGCAAACTGTTGGCAGTATATTAATCCTGTATAATAATAATAATAATAGCACTTTCACCAGTAGCAGCCCCTGTATTTTCTCCATATACGTTTTCTTTAAGGATGTATTGGATACAATGGCCAATTTCATTCTCCTTCCAATTCCACAAGTTCTTGACAACTAGGGATGCACCGATACCGAGTATTTGGGCAAGTCTGGAACTTCCGGTCAGAGGGACAGTGCGGCGAGGGAACATGGAGCTGGCTTCCCGGCCAAACAGGAAGCTTGGCAGCAGGTAATGACTCGCCTCCCAGCTTCCTGATTGGCCAAAAAGCCAGCTCCATGTTGTTTGGCCAGCTTGATGCTGATTGGCTTACTGGGCAATCAAGAAGCTACGTGGTGGGTAATGACACGACGACCGGCTTCCTGATTGGCCAGGAAACCGTCTCAATGCTAGCAGAAGTACCAGTATCTGTACTCGGTATCGGCGAGTACCGAAAGATAAATATCAGTTCTTGTACTCCATACCGAAAAACATCACATCCTGCACATGGCCGTTTCATTTTTATTAATTTGCCATGTTAAAATGTATACAGGCTATCTTCCCTAGTCCTCATATTTTAGTTTTGTATGGTTGCTCAATGACATGCTAGTTTCTTAGATTTTTCTGGGAAAGCATGTTATTTAACCTGAAAAGTGCGAAAAACATAGCAAGGAGCTAATGGTCGCTGGTGTCCTCACAACCCATTCAGCTATCCCCCCAAGAAAACCTCAAACCAGGCCCTTACGGTCTGGTATGGATTTTAGTAGGTAGCCCACACAAAAAAAGAAAAAAAAAAATAAGGCATAGGGTCCCCCCCAGAATCCATTGCCAGACCCTTTTCTGAGCATGTAGCCTGACAGCACAGAAAAAGGGAAGAGGGGGGAGGGGAAAATTAGCGCGTGTTCCCCCCCCCTCCAAAACCATACCAGGTCACATGCCCTCAACATGGGGGTTTAGTTTGCCAGGGTGGATTACGCTGGCAAAACACCTTGTCCCCATGTTTATGAGGGCAAGGGCCTCTTCCCCACAATCCTGGCGTAGTGGTGTGGGGGACTGCAGGCAGGGGGCATCTAGAAACCCCCTTTAAGAATAAATGAGGGCGCCCAGGGGATTTCCCTTAAAACCAATCCCAGACCTGAAGGTAGCGGTCATTTACCAGATTAAATGACACTTTTTTTTATTTTGTATAGGTCAGTTTTGCTCTAGTAGGTTGCATACATTGTACAGATGCGCCACTTCACAGGCAGGTTCCTGGCATCCCCCAGTAATGTTAGTTAAAGGAATTGTGCATGTGTAACATAGTTACATAGTTTGTGAGCAAGCTCAAAGTGAGTGATGCACTAGTTTATAAAACGTTGCCCTTAAAGCATTATTAAAATCACTGCAAACAGATTTTTTTTTTATACTTTGTTACATGTCCTCCAGGATGCCGTCCAGTTCCCCATGTCCTTTATTTGTCAGTCCCTTGCTTATTAGTGTAAAAGTGACCTTTCATGATTTTTAGGATTCAGGCCCCATTGGATGTGCATTCGGCACCCAAACTTAAGTTAATCGAAGCCAAGTTTGTTTGGATTATCACTAGTGATAAGCTGGCATGGGTCACTGCACTTTATACATAGCTGTATTACTTGGCACCTGATTAAAAATCCTGTCCCAGTGAATAAATGCTGGTGGAGATGAAAATCTAGGTATTCGCTTTAATTTTTTACCCCTAAAAAAACTTCTACTCTCCTTCCCTTGTTTCCATAGATATACTTTGACACTTGTCATATTTTACATTTTGTTTTATTCTACAGTAATTGGAAAACAACAACATGACATGATTCAACAAACTAGGAACAAAATATCTTACCTTGCTAATCTTTCATGCTGTGAAAAAGATGTAAACAGTTTAGTACTGGCAACATAAATCATTTAAAAAACACAAAGCAGATCTAAATGTAATTAAATTCTCATTACAGCATACTGCTCACTAGTCTTTTGTAGAATGGGGGTCTTGAGGAGGGCACACACTGGTCAAATTTTGCCCAAATCCTGTTGACTGTATGGCCAGTTTTACATTCAGCCAACTTTTACAGTACATGTCTTAGTAAAGCTTTTATTCATAATCACTATTTACGCACAAGTTCACAGCATGTGCTTTTTTATTTTAAATAGGGATGCACCGATACCGATACCAGTATCGTTATAAGTACTCGCCCAAATGCTCTGATGCCTAGCCCGATACTTGAGCTTCTGGTATCAGGAAGCCGGGCAGCGAGTCATTACACGGCGCCCGACTTCCTGATTGGTCTGCAACCCCAGTGACAAATGCTAAATTCAATAATTTCTTTTATAGTCTTATAAAATATTTATAAAGCAGTGAATGTGACATTCACCAAATATTTAATGCAGGTAAATTTTCCTGGGTATAGTTTCAAATTAGGGGGAATAATTAACCACACGTGAATGTGTGGCAATTGTTACATTCAGGGCCCGTTCACGCTAGGTCGTCGGATAAAACTCTGTGTTTTAGCAGCCCGTCTAGTGCATCCTACACTGTTGGCACTGACACTGTTTACATTTGTTTAAATGTTATTGGTAGTGTACCATGTGTACACTCCATTCAGGTCCCCGCACAGCAGCACGGTGCGCTTTGCTGGCATGTGGTGGCCTGCAGTGGCATCCAGTGCGCTATTTATATATACCCCTTCAGCAGCTCTTTTGCCTAAATATACATTGGGCACATATTTAAAATATGAATCCAAAGAAGATTCTCCTGATTCCTTAATTTGTATTTGCTCTGCAACATTCACATGTAAATAAAGGAGAACTTGCATTAATTCACTCAACTTATAAAACCAGACCTCAAGTGTGGCAATTTTATATCCCACAAGCATGGCAATGTGCAATGTATCCAAGTGATAACAGTAATTAGAAAAACAAACAACAAGTTAATAAAACTTGCCTCATTTGTGAAATAAACCTGTCATATTTATGCCATTATTATGACATATACAAATATCAAGCAAATGGCAAATATTGTTAATTAATAATTAGAAATAGGTGAACACAAATGGCGAGGTTGCTACTTTGTACACATAGAAGTGCAAGTGCAAGACAATTTACAAAGCAGTGAGATACATGGCTCTGTGAGAAAACAGCATTAAGAAGCTACATGCACAAATGTTATACTTGTACTAATGTACTAATCTCTACTAGGTACTGCATATCTATCCATGACACATATCAGCTGCTGCAGAGAGGCAGAAGGACAAAAATAAATCAACCTACATACTTGCCCCTATCCTGGTAGCATAGATTGATAAATATATAGGAAGTCCTGAAGCAACCATATTCATGTTCTCATAATCATGATTTTGACTAATTCTGTAGCAGATCTTAGACATTTGAAAGCACAAAACAATGGACACATTTCCTAAAGGAGTTGAGAATCTTCATATAGTAAATTGCGTGAATGAACACCTTAATTATCCAATCAGCTGAAAAGCAAATTCCTCTTCACTTTGCATACCCAATCTTGTGCAGATGAAATAAATAAAAAAGGAATTAGCTTTTTTTCCACAATGAATAATTGATGTAAATATATTTATCACATTTTATTGTGTTAAGATTCTCTTCTCCTTTATTATACAGATTCAGTGTGCTGACCTCCTATAAACAGCAGTCAGGCTAAATAACATTAATTGCTTTCTTGGTTGTTTTGTTGGTGTGTATTACTCTAGCAAACTTTAAAAGGGTATTCACAAAAGGGTGAAGAGTTGGAGAAGGCAGGAGAAGTGAACAATCTATGCAAAAATAGCTGATTTGGAAACATTCTCCAATTAAGCTCTTTCCAAATCAGCTATTTTGGCCTAGATTGTTCAATTCTCCTGCCCTCTTCACCCTTTTGGGAGTTATCCTTTGAGGGGGCATTTTAATGGAAGAAATGCCATTACAACCATCAATTTAAGCTTTGCACCCTGCAGCCATATTTGTAGATTTGACCCTCCCACTGAAATGAGCAGAACCTGAGAGAGGCCCGAGACTGCTATTTTTGGCAACCTGTCATCTGTTGTTCAGTTAAGTAAAGGTTATTTCTCATTTGTTGTCAGTAAGGTATTGTTATTTTTTATTATTTTCATTGTGCGTCTTTTTTTTTCCATTGGTACACATGAGACCTAAATTTGCACGTATAATCAGTTTCCTTGGGGTCAATGCAAATAAATATAATATTAACAGTGCCAGGCCATTGGAGATCTCTTTTCAAGTCTAAGCACCAAGCACAACAATGGTGGCACCTGAAAGGTTCTTTATTTCAGGTCATGAGATCTAGCACAAAAGCACTACAACAGTGGCAGTGGTGAGATTCTTTAGTTCAGGTTATATGATTGAGCCCTAACACTACTTGTGCTGAAGAGTTTTCTTTTCCAATACTTTTAATTTTAAATAGTTTCAAAACATACAATTTAAAACATAATTCTTCTCCATTATTAAGGGAACAATACATAAAAAATTACTTATTAAAAACACCATATGTACTCTTTATAACCTTTTCAAATTTCTGGATACCTTCTTCGTTTGTGTCCTTACAACACCATTTGGTCATTCTCCTTACACCTTCCCAAACAAAAACAAAACAAAAAACCCTACCCATATCAATTTTCCTCTCTCTCTCCCAGTTTCCACATACCTTCCCCACTTTACATCTTAGTCCTCAGACTCTAACTTCTATATAGTAGAGTCATTTTGAAGTCTACTGACATGTCATTTTGTATCCAAGGTTCCCACATTTTCTTGAATATAGAGATTGTGTAATTTAAAATGGCAGAAAGTTTTTCATTTATCATATACCATCCTTTCTTGCTCCTTACTTGATGTATAGAGGAGGTATTAGAGTTTCAAGCCCTTGCCAATGTCTGCTTTGCTGCTGTTAATATAAAGGTCACTAATTTAAACTGTATGTTGGTACAGCCCTCTGGTCTTAGGTTAGGCAAAGCCTCTCATGGGTTCCATCTTATTCGCCTGCCTAATAGTTTACTAATCATTCGATAGGTACCTATCCAGAGCCCCTTGATTTTGGGACAGACCCACTATATATGTAACATTGAACCCACCTCATTGCATCCCCTAAACACTTTATAGAGATTCCCTCTGCAAATTCCCTCTGCACATTATTACATGATGGAAGCCAGCAGTGTTTGTGAAAGGATCTACAGGAAGTGCTGCTCATGTTGTGCAAAGTAAGTAGATTCTCTCTTAAATATACTGAAATAATTAGTAATATTCTGATTTTTCAGTACAGTGAGAACAATTTAGACACCTCCATAAATAAGGTCTTCTGCCACTGGATTGGGTGGGTGGTAGGATGTTTGATGTTTTATGCATCCTGACCATGCAGTCACTCCAAAGATCATATTTTCAAAGTAGACCGATAATAGCACCTTCTGTTTATCAACTATAAGCAGAAAAATATGGAGCAGTGCAAACATGCTTCACCTTAGCTCTGTTTTGCGTGGGTCATTGCCTTGCATGTGTTCCAATGAGGAGCGCATGCAAGACAAGAGCTAAAAGAAGTGTCAGTTTAAGGGACATTAGTAATGAAACAATACCCGTCCAGCTCCCTGTGCAGTATTACGCACCCTCTTTTCTAAATTCTCCAAACCATATTTTTTTTTCAATAGTGTCCTTGCTGTTTTGATTACCAGAACTGTGGCTCTTTCCTGTACTTGAAACACAACACTATAACTGACTATTTTGAGAACTGTCTTCTTCTGGTTTCAGGGAGGCTCTCTAAATGATTATGCAATATTAAATGCAGATGAGCCAACTTTATTTCCTGGACATTTGCTTTGCAGGACCCCTTTTACATGCTCAGTTATTAGAGTTTCTGCTGCAGTTACAGTAAGGAAATCCAATACAACAAGAGTGCCGTGTCCAAAAGATGTGGAGTCCTGTAGTATTCATTTCAAATAAAATGGCAAGACGATAAGTCAGTGCTTTTCGGTGGTTAAAAACTCCCCCTTCATAAGGGCTAAAAATAATAATAATCTCCTGGTAACAATAACAAAAGTAATAATAATGTAATATTAACTTTAATATACTGTATATGAAAGTATTTTGACCAGCGGCAATCTTCCTATGAGAAGAGGCAGATCATGGAGCGCTTCCATGAGCGGACAAGGGGGCTGGATGGCCGTCACCCAACAGTGCTGCAACTGTGGAACTGTTAGGTCTCGTTCACACCTAGGCGTATTGCATATGCGTGTCTGTCGCGCGTTTTTTTACGGCAATTCGCGGTAAAAAAAGTTGTGCGACCGTCACGCGTTTCCGAAGGCTACTTGGCTGTATCCCAATGGAAATGCGCAACAAAACGGCCCAAAGTAGTACCTGTACCTTTTCAGGCATGTGCCGTTTTGTAGCGCGTTAGGGACGGGTGGAAATACGCCAAGGTGGGAACGAGACCATTGAATACAATGGGATTTATATTTTTGAGCATTTTGTAGAGCGTTCGTCGAGCGTAGAACGCGCTACAAAACGCTCAGGTGTGAACGAGGGCTCAGAGTGATATGAAATGAAGGAACATGGAATTCCTCTGCAATGTGCAGAGGAGCCTTGCAGTTTGTAAGTATAACATTTAGCCTGCTCACATCTGCTGTAGGCCTATCATCTTTCCTTTATACACTACATACTCTGACAGCTTCACAACATTGATTCTCACCTTTGTTCTTTCCTAGCATTATCTGATCATGGACACGAGAGACTGCAGCTGGTGCAGCAGTGTTGGAGGAGATACGGCGTAGTGTGACCCTCCTTTTCCTCTGAAAAGGACATGCAGCAGGCTCAGCAGCGCAGGCGGAGGATACTGCCTGTGATGTCCTCCTCAGAGG